TCTTGACGATTTCCTCTGGGGAGGTTGAGTCAGGTTTAAGTTTTTCAGAAGCCTTTCCCCTTCTTCTATAGACTTTGCAGTATGCTTTTTCCCCTCTCTGAAAATGATTAGTGTTGCTGGAAAGGCCCATGTGTATTTGATGTCTGCTGATCTGAGTCTATCCGTTATAGGCTTGAGGGAGGCTCTCTCCTCCCTTGTAGCTCTTGCTAAGTCCTGGAAAACTGTGATTTTATTACTATTAAACTGCAGATCATTCACGCTCCTCAAGGCTTTGAAAACCTGTAAGCATGTTGATGCTTTAACAAATGTCACTGTTACCACTCTTGGTGTGGGACCTTTGTGATTCTTTCCCCCCCTCTTTTGAGGATAAAGTCTGTATGCTCTATCTATATCTTCTTCTCCAGCTGGTATGTCCCATTGGTTCCACCACTCACACAGAGAGTTAATCAAGTCTTTGTCTTTTACATATTCAGGGATTCCTTGTAAACAAAAATTTCTGCGTTTGGAATGGTTTTCTAGATCCACCACCCTTGATTTCCAATAATTAACTTCCAATTCTAGTGACTGGATCCTAGCTTGATTTTTTTCCTCCTTAGATACTATTTGGCTCATCCTTTCTCTTGTCTCTCTAACTTCGAGAGATAAATGCTCCATTGAGCTTTTGAGCCCTTTAATCATTTCCACCAGAAGGTCAAGCTTTTCTCCTGTGTTAACTGTGGAAATTGGAGCTTCAGAGGCTTCTGAGGCCATCTCTAGATGATTTATATTCCAGTGGATAAAACAGTAAAACAGTTAACGAGCGGCACTCCCACCTCTGCTCAGCTGTTTGTTTCTGTTTTTCTTTTATCCAAACGCTCTGCTGCTGTAGTTCAACAAAATGGCACCACACGCTGCCTCAACAGGAAACTGGAGATATCTAATCAGTCTTTAGCTGTTTCCCAGGCTTTTCTTTTTCTTTAATTAGTAGGAAGATGTTGCGTTTTGTTTCTTGACATATTAACTAATCTTTAAGTCTTTTCCCAATTGGATTAATCCTCCGGGTGAGTTATTTTAACTTACTTTGACGGAGGAGCAATGTGAGCAATGTGAGCAATGTGATAAACTTTGCGATGGATATAGAAGAATGTGTTGTAAAGCTATGTAAATGATCCCTTGGATAATAGTACTGTACAGGCAGTCCCTGAGTTACAAACATCTGATTTATATACTAGTTGCAAAGGAGACAGGGGGTTGAGAAAACAGGAAGTGAGAAAAATCTACCTCCAGTAAGGGAAATTCACTCCTGCAAGAGTTATCATGGGGAAAAGGTATCTCCACTGAAGCTTTCTCATCAATCCTTGTTTCCACAACAACTCATAATTTTCAAAATCCAATTGTCACAGGGACGGAAAGTGAAGTGAAATCTTCTGAACAGGGGCACACACAGCAACACAAATGTTACAAATGTATTAACCCTTTCCAAAATGAAAATGGAAAACCTTTTTTTCTTTGGCTGGAGTTATACTTAAAAAATATATGTGTTCCAACTTGCATATAAATTCAACTTAAGAACAAACATGCAGAACTGACTGCTTGTATATAGAGTACTACAATGGAAATGCCCTGTCTACTGTCGCCAAACAGTTTCAGTCAGATAGTGTTCAAGGGCAGGTGGAGGAAACTCAGGGTGATAATGGTTCCTTGAAAAGGTGCTTGAAATGGGCATATGTGTGTATGTATGCTCTATCTTTTTCTATTTATCATTTTTCCATCCATCCATCTATCTATATTGTGTACGCGTGTCTATCCATAATTTATTAGTCTTTGTGTTTCTTAAATTTATTGGTTGGTACTTGATATAAGCATGCTTCATGACATCTCCAGAGTTGGCCCCTTGTGACATCATCACTGACCCCAGAACCCCAGGTATTGGTGGTGGCAAGGAATGCCTTCACACAGTTAAAACTTGTACTCCAGCTGTGCCCATACCTCGAGACGCCAGACTTGGCCATGGTAGTCTGTGCTTTAGTCACATCCCGTTTGGACAATTGCAATGTTCTCTATGTGAAGCTGCCTTTGAAGATAGTTTGGAAGCTAGGTTACTAATTGGGGCCCCGTGCAGGGAGAGAACCACTCCCATGTTACGGCAGTTCCCCTGGTTGCCGATTAGCTTCCAGGAAAAATACAAAGTACTGATCGATACCTATAAAGCCCTAAATGGTTCAGGTCCAGACTATTTGCAGGACTGCATCTCCATACACAAACCGGCTTGAGTGTTGCGATCTGTGGAGGAAGCCCTGCTCTCGGTTCCACCCCCATCTCAAGTGCGACTGGTGGGAATGAGAGAGGGAGTGGGACTTCTCCATGATCACTTTCTGTCTCTGGAACTCCCTCCCTAAAGAAATAAAAATGCCCCCCCCCCCAAAAAAAAACCCCTTGAAAATACACCTATGCACTTTAGCATATGAAGAGGAGGAGGACTAGGACAGTTTAAATTAATTCCATCAGAATGCTGGCTAACTTATTTATACTTCATGGCTGATATGATACATTTAAGTGAACACCTGTGATAGCCATTTCTAATGTATTTTAATTGTTTTATAGGGTATACGTCTTAATGTTAATTCATGCTATTAATGTTACTATGTCCTATTGGATTATTTTTATTCTATTTCCATTTCGATGCTTAATTCTTTTGTTATAAGTTTACTGTTATTATTGTGCATTGGTCTGCATTTTTGATGTATTTCTACTTATTTAAAGCATTGAATGTTTGCCTTCTTTTGTGTGTAAACCACCCTGAGTCCCTTCGAGGAGAGAGTTGTTGTTGTTGTTGTTGTTGTTGTTGTTTTTGGGAACCATTTCTGGGGGTGCATCTGTCTACTGTAGAAATACAAGTAATACAGTTTCACTGTCATGGCTCAGTGCTATGAATTTCTGGGATTTGTAGTTTTATGAGGCACACCACTCATTGCCAGACCAGGCTGAAGACCTTGTGGCAGTTAAAGAGCTGTAAAACTGCATTAATTATACAGTGTAGATGCACCCTAGGTTATAGTTTTGGCTCTAAGACTTCCCTGGGGTGTGTGAGTATGGGCCTCTCACCAGCATTTGAACTCCTTTCAATCTACATCAACCAATGGCAGGAGAATATTTAAGTGTGAAAAGGACAGGACACCAGGCCATGACTTTGAGATTAAGCCGCAAGTAAAAGAACAGGTTGAACAGCCTTCTAAGCCATCAGTCAGCCAGGTATCATTGGTTGCAAAGGACAGTTGTGTTTTTGTAATCCTGAAGTAAACATTTCTGAGTAAGCCTTTTGTGCCAAAACAAGTTGACGGGGTATTGGCCCAGGAAAAAATAACAGAATTGACTATGATACATAAGAAGTTTTCTACAATTTACACATGATAAAGGGGACTACCGGTAGCATAGGTCATGTGTTTGGAGGGAGAGCCATTGAACTTTTAACAGTGACAACTGGAGAAGGTTCCTGTTGTGTAGAAGTGGGAATTTCAGCATGTTTTGCTTGTTTCCCAGTTGTGTGGCAAACAGCAACATCTGAAATTTGCTCTTCTGCACAACTAGTAAAGGTACAAGAGCTGTCTCCAGTTTTGAACCCTATAGGCTTGTACTTACCCATAGATGGGAGTATATTGCCAGGATTTATTTATCATATCAGAAGCGAACCGAGGGTACAGTTATAATGTATTTAAAAAACACAAAGTTTAAAAACTTGGCATTATATTAAATGTCCTTTGACCAGTAGCTGGCCACTTGGAGTGCCTCTGTTGTAGCTATAAGGAGGTCCCATATTGTGCAAGTGGCAGGGCTCAGACTCCACTGTAATAGGTGGTCTGTGGTTTGCTCTTCTCCACACTCGTATGTCGTGGACTCCACTTTGTGGGGCCCATTTTTTAAGGTTGGCTCTGCATCTCGTGGTGGCAGAGCGCAGTCTGTTTAGTGCCTTCCAAGTTGCCCAGGCTTCTGTGTGCCCAGGGGGGAGTCTCTCATCCAGTATCAGCCTTGGATTGAGGGCCCAGATTTTAGCCTGCCACTTTTGGACTCTTGCTTACTGAGGTGTTCCTGGGGGCTGGAGATGTTAATGCCTTGGTCCTCTAATTATTGGCTGCTACTTCCCGTCAGATGTCAGCTGGTGCAATAATGGCTAAACAGTATAATTTATCTAGTGGTGTAGGGAGTAGACATCCTGTGATAATGTAGCATGTCTCATTATGAGCCACATCCACTGTTTTAACATGGTTCCACACTGGGCATGCGTATTCAGCAGCAGAGCAGCAAAGCAGAAGGGCAGATGTCTTCACTGTATTGCCAGGATGAAGTTAAGAAAAATGAAAGAAAAGAAATACTGTCTCAGTCCTGAAGAAAATCTGCTGTTTCGACTTGTGGACAATTTCAACAGAAAGGAAGAGACCATGAAAATGAACAAAATCTGGCTACCAGTATTAAAAAACTCTAAAATTATAACAGCTAAACAACAGAGAAGAAAAAACCAGGCACAGATTAACACCTCCCAGCAACAGATTTTCCCAGGCTCAGGCAGGCCTTCAAATGCTAATGATTCACACCTAACAGCTAAACATTCACACCTAACTGCAGCAGGGAAGAGCTCCTTGCCCCACCCCAGCCATTCCACAGATATATAAACCCATTTTTCCTACTTCCAACAGACCTCACAACCTCTGAGGATGCTTGCCATAGATGCAGGCGAAACGTCAGGAGAAATGCCTCTAGAACATGGCTCTATAGCCCGAAAAAACCCACAAGAACCTAAAGATCATAAAGCTTTTCGACTTTTTAAACCAACTTCAATAAAAGATTCAAAGGTGTGCATGCACAACACATTTTCATAGTTCAATGTAAATCATGAAAAGGTGAATTGAGAGTAAATAGTTTATGTTCTTTTGTGTTGTAGTAGTTTTGCCTGGCTTTTCAGTTGAAAGATCTGCTGTTAGACAGAATTTTGCTAAATACCTTCTTGCTTCTCTTCATCCTTTCAGGTTCTTTCTATGAGCAGCTTGGTGCATGCACTGGATGTTAACAGCAGTCTAAGGAAGGCCGTCCACAAGAGAAGCAGCCAGGAGAGGACTTTGTCAAATTCTTCAGTGAGTAAGAGTTGCCTAAATGCAAATATATTTTTTCTAGTCTTGCGTTCTGGTTCTTTTATGATATCCTTTGATGGAATGTTGGGTCAGTGGCTTTGAAGTTTGAGCTTGGCCAGATTTTAGATCCTGAGCCTTTAATGGTACGTGTGAATGGACATTTAGTTTATGTCATGTTTGTGGTTGGCTATGAAGAAAATGAAACTGTTGCTAATTCAGGATAGCTTGAAACATGTCATAGGCAAGAGGGAGCAAGCTTGTTTTCTGCTGCCCTGGAGACTAGGATCCGGAACAATGGCTTCAAACTACAGGAAAGGAGATTCCACCTGAACATGAAGAAGAACTTCCTAACTGTGAGAGCTGTTCAGCAGTGGAACTCTCTACCCCAGAGTGTGATGGAGGCTCCTTTGGAGGCTTTTAAAGAGAGGCTAGATGGCCACCTCTTGCGGGTACCTTGAATGCAATTTTCCTGCTTCTTGGCAGAATGGGGTTGGACTGGATTGTTCACGAAGTCTCTCCTAACTCTGTGATTCTATGATTTTCATGCTCTGTATGTATCACAATGGAAATGCATTGTTGCTCTTTCAGGACCCTGATCTCAAGCAATTGGACAGTGCACGTCCATTGCGTCGCACAAAAAGGAGATGGGTCATTACCACCCTAGAACTTGTGGAAGAAGACAAAGGACCATTCCCAAAAGCTATTGGAGAGGTAAAATATTTATGAAAGCTTCCTCCTTCTCCTCCTACACATCATTATTCTTCCTTCTAGCTAGTCCTAGATATTTATATCCTCCTGGCAGTGATCTCCAAAATCTCATAGCATCTGATGAAGTAGACTGTAGTCTAGGTAGAAAGAGACTTCAGACTGTAGAATCTACTTTGATTTTTTTTTAAAAAAGTAGAAACACTAACCAGAGGCAGGTGCAAAAGGTTCATGTTGAGAATTTTAAAGAAAAAGGCCTCTGAACGCATTCTTGGTCTATGGTTTTTTAAAAAATTATCAGAACTGTTTCAAATCATTCATGCAGAAGTCCTAGATGTCTTCTTCTTCCTCCTCCTCCTCCTCCTTCTCTTCCCCCTCTCCTCCTCCTCCTCCTCCTCTTCTTTTTCTTCCCTGTCCTATTCCTCTTTCCCCCCCCCTCCTCCTCCTCCTCCTCCTCCTCCTCTTCTTTATAAAGTTGGGAAAAGTGATTTGAAGAATCTGGTGCCTTTGCTGATTTGCTCTGTGAAAACTATGATTTTTTCTCATTCATAACAAAACTTTAGTCGAGATATTTTTTTTCTGTGTCAGGAGCGATAATGAAGGTGTTAAGCATTAATCCTTGCTTTAATGGTGTTTAGCATTTAAGGATAAAGTTCATGAGAACCGAATCTATACGATTTCTACAGTGTTCATTCCAGCATTAGTCTTATAGATTCAGTTCTCGTGAATTTCACCCTCCTTTAATGCAAAACCTCACTGAAGCATTGCAGACCTGACTACTTTCTGACCAGCAGGATCTCATATTTTTTACATTAGATTGGCTTAATTGTAATTCCTTGGGAGAGCTATAATGTGATTTTTGTATTTATATGTGTTTTTAAAATGCAACTCATTTGAGCACTAATTTATCTGTGGTTTACATACAGGCTGAGTATCATTTATTCAGAATGTTTGGGACAGGGAAGTTCATTTATGTTTCATACTGTATATACCTTAAACCAGCGGTTCCCAACCTGTAGTCCGTGGACCACCAGCAGTCCGCAAGAATGAAAATATGGTCCATGGCCTCACTATTACCTCAAAAGCACATAGCAACGAGAAAGACTAGTCTCATGAAATGTCATGAAAGATTAGTACTACCACATCAGTATTAAATATGGTTTTCTGTGGGCAAGAAATATGATTTTCTGTGGATGGCATATGTTCTGTATCAGATACTAGAGCTGATGTGGTCTATCCAATGCAATTTTCTGAATCAGCACCCAAATAGCCAAATAACCAAACCAAAGTTGACCAAAAAACGATTCATAACCCTTTTGGTACTAATGTTGGAAAGTGGTCCATAGTCAAAGTGGTCTCTGGTAAAAAAAAAAAAAAGGCTGGGAAAAAGGCCTGAAGGCAATTTTATATGCTGTTTCAATAATTTTGTGTGAAAAAAAAATGTTTGCATACATTGAACCATCATAAGGCAAAGGTGTCACAAAGGTGAAGACACAAATTTTGGAATTCTGGATAAAGAATGCTCATTGCTCAACCTGAAAAATATATTTTTAAATAGATTAATCTTCACATTGAAACTTTGCTCCTTTAATAAAGCCTGTATATCACCGATTTGTCTTGTTTTATAGCTCTTCAATGATGTTGCACAGGACATGAATATAAAATATTTTATTAGTGGACCAGGTGTGGATGAATATCCAGAGGCTGGATTGTTTTCTATTGAAGATGATGCTAACGGACATGTATATGTCCATCGTACCATTGACCGAGAGAGCACCCCATCTTTCATGGTATTTATGGCTGAGAAAAAGCAGATGAGCATATATATGTGTGTGTGTGTGTGTGTTCCACATGTATCAGCTGTTATATGCTTATGAAGATAAAAATCCTTAATCATGCCAAGTGAGAGCTTTACTGTAGTGTAAATTATTTGACCACTGCGCACAGCCAAAGTTTGTTTTCTATCAGTCTAGTAAATTCTGTAAATGTTTCCTGTGCCTTCCTTCATGTCTAAGAATTCTGCAAGAGGTGGCCACATGATAAGAAAAAGGGGAGCCTGCACTTTAAAATGCTAATGTGATATTGTCCTAGGTGAGAGCCGTTCAGCAGTGGAACTCTCTGCCCCGGAGTGTGGTGGAGGCTCCTTCTTTGGAAGCTTTTAAACAGAGGCTGGATGGCCATTTGTCAGGGGTGATTTGAATGCAATATTCCTGCTTCTTGACAGGGGGTTGGACTGGATGGCCCATGAGGTCTCTTCCAACTCTTTGATTCTATTATTCTAGGTCTGCATATTAGGCAAATGATCTTCACATTATGCAAATGATCTTGATTTTTTTGCTGGAGTTGTAAGCTGCCTTGAATCCCTTCGAGTGAGAAAGGCAGGGTAGAAATGAAGTAAATAAATAAATAAATCACATAATATAAATTTTGTGTAGCCGGGAATTCTGTTTTTCTGGATGAATGATTTCTTGGTGTCATATTGAAGCATACGATAGAATCAAGATGGAGAACGTAGAAAATGCCCAGATAAGTGTTCTCTCTAGGCTTCCAGAGCAATTCTGTGGCCAGCAGAACTTCTAATGGAAGTTGACTTTAGAACCATGCTTGATGCCAAGGGAGAACACTTCTCTAAAGCGATTTTATGGTATTCAAAGCTCTCTCTCTCTCTCTCTCTCTCTCTCTCTATATATATATATATAAAAATGATATTTTATGATATTCGAAGCTCTTCATATATAAATGACAGCATGAACTGGCATAATAAATGTGCTTACTGTACATTAGAATGTTGATCAAGCTTAAATAATCATGTATTGTCGAAGGCTTTCATGGCCGGAATCACTAGGTTGCTGTAAGTTTTTTGGGGCTATATGGCCATGTTCTAGAGGCATTCTCTCCTGATGTTTCGCCTGCATCTATGGCAAGCATCCTCAGAGGTAGTGAGACCTCACTACCTCTGAGGATGCTTGCCATAGATGCAGGCGAAACGTCAGGAGAGAATGCCTCTAGAACAGGGGTCCTCAAACTAAGGGCCGGGGGCCGGATGCGGCCCTCCAAGGTCATTTACCCGGCCCTCGCTCAGGGTCAACCTAAGTCTGAAACGACTTGAAAGCACATAACAACAACAACAATCCTATCTCATCAGCCAAAAGCAGGCCCACATTTCCCATTGAAATACTAATAAGTTTATATTTGTTAACATTGTTCCTCGTTTTAATTATTGTATTGTTTTAAAGTGTTTTTACACTACAAATAAGATATGTGCAGAGTGCACAGGAATTCATGTTTTGTTTTTCAAATTATAATCCGGCCCTCCAACAGTTTGAGGGACTGTGACCTGGCCCTCTGCTTAAAAAGTTTGTGGACCTCTGCTCTAGAACATGGCCATATAGCCCCAAAAAACTTACAGCAACTTAAATAATTATAATATAATATAATAATAAAACTTTATTTTTATTCAGCCCTCTCTCCTCCTAGGGGATTCAGGGTGGATTTTTGCTATCATGCCAATATGCAGTCTTATCATTTTATAAATAAATTGATTTGTGCTTTGTATCATCAGTTTTATTTCCTTCCTCTCCTATACAGATACGTTTTGATGTCGCAGACAGGCAGACTGGGGAAATAGTAGATAGATCCCTTCTCTTCAATGTTGAAATTAAGGATGTAAACGATAATCCGCCTGAGTTTCCTCAAAAGGAATATAACATCACGATGAAAGAAAATTATAGGAGAGGTGAGTAGTCCTTGGGATTGTGTGTATTTGTAGACAGGAACCATGTATCCACTATTGTTGCCTTCTCCATGCAAGGCCCAAGTATCATTGTGTATTTGATGAGAGGAGTACAAACTGGGACTC